TTGTTTTCTCCTCCAGATTGTTCATCCAGCCCATTGTTACAGCCACGTGTCAGTGCATCTCAAGGAAGGCTCTTTTCGGGGTTTTTTTTGCTGCCCCTTTACTTTACCAAGAATGATGTCTTTCTCCAGGGACTGGTCTCTCCTGAAAACATGTCCAAAGTACACAAGATGAAGTCTTGTCTCGCTCTGCTTGCCTCCAGAAAGCATCCTGGCTGTACTTCCTCTAAGACAGACCTGCTTGTCCTGGCTGTCCACGTGATCTTAAGTACTCCTTGACAGTACTGTGATTCAGATGCACCAATCAAATCTGCTTCAGTCTTCCTTTTTCAGTGTCCAACTTTGCATCTGAGGTCATTGAAAATACCATGACTTGGATCAGGTGCACTTTCCTCTGCAAAGTGACATCTTTCCCCGTCAGTACTTTAAAGAGGTCGTGTGCAGCAGATTTGCCCAGTGTAATCTATCATTGGATTTCTTGACTGCAGCTTTCATGCGCTTTGGATGTGAATCCAACCAAAATGAAATCCTTGGTAACTTGAATCTTTTCCCCATTTACCATGGTGATGTCTATTGGTCCAGTTGTGAGGATTTGGGTTTGCATTACATTGAATTACAATCTGTATTGAAGCCTGCAGTCCTTGATCTTCATCCGCAAGTACTTCAAGTCCTCCTCTCTTACAGCTCGCAAGGTTGTGTCATCTGCATATTGAAGGTTGCTAATAACCCTTCCTTCAATCCTGTTGTAAAACTTTTCTTCATCTAGTCCAGCTTCTCAGATGATCTGTTTAGTAGACAGATTGAATCAATGTGGTGAGAGGATACAATGCTGACAGACACACCCCTTTCCTGATTTTAAACCACTTGTTCTGTTCAAATGCTGCTGCTCGGTTTCAGGTCCAGGTTCCGCTTGAGCACAGTGAGGTGTCTGGAATTCCCATTCTTCCCAAGGCTATTCCATAGTTTGTTATGATCCCCACAGTTGAATACCTTTGCATAGGCAATAAGATACCAGCAAACATCTGTCTGGTATTTTGGCTTTCAGCCAAGCTCCATCTGACATCCGCGATGGTATCCTTCATCCCACATCCTCTTCTAGATCCAGCTTGAGGTTCTGGAAGCTCCGTCATGCACTGCCGCGACCGTTGTTGAATGATCTTCAGTAAAACTTTACTTGTATGTGGTATTAATAATTTTGTTTGATAATGTCCACATTCTGCTGGGTGACTTTTCTTTGGAATGGATACAAAGATGCGATTTTTCCAGTCCGTTAGCCAGGTCGCCCTCTTCCAGGTTTCTTGGCATAGGGCAGTGAGTGTTCCCAGTGCTTTCTCAGCTTGTTGGACCATTCCCATTAGTATTCCATCTGCCCCTAGAGCTTTGTTTTTCCCCAGTGCCTCAATGCAGCTTGAGCTTCTTCCTTCAGGACCATTTGTTCTTGATCCTGTGCTTCCTTTCGAAAGAGCTGAATGCCGAATGCTGTTCTTTTTGGTGCAGTGGCTCTGTATGTCACTTCCTCGTCTTCTGTATTGTTCAGTATTTTGCCCACAAATCTGTCAGTGTTGCAACTCAAGCCTGGACTTTTCTCTTCAGGCCTTTCTACGTGAGACATGCTGTGCTCTTCCTTTTTCGTTCTCTGATTCCAGGTCTTTGCATATCTGTACAGTAACGGAGCTTTGGCTTCTTGAGCTGCTCTTTGAAATTTTCTTGCAGCTCCTT